ATAAACTTACTCCTAAAGTAGATGAATCTTTCCTCATAAATATAGATAAATAAATAAATAAACAAAACGTGAACTTAATTATTATACATGAGAAGTTTAAATTAAGGGGAGGTTAAGTATTGTAAATTAAATAAAAAATAGTTTTTTTTTTAATTTGTGAGAATAGCTAATTGAAATGTGCATAATATTTTGGATAAGGTAGTTCGTATATATTTTTTTTGTAGTTTATTTTGTGATAGTAAGGATAAAAAATGTGTTTTCTATGTTAGTAATAACATGTTTTTCATATTTTATAATGTTTTTTTTATGTTTAAGTAAAATTTTGTGTAAAAAAAAAAAGTTTAAGTAAAATTTAAGTTAAAAATAAAATGATTATTATGAAATAATAGTAAAATCAAGTATCTTTCAAAAGAGTCAATATAGTAAGAGTTACTTTTATACTTTTATTTGATATATTTACTAAGAGTTCCTTTTATCGTTAACGATGAATATTCTACTTTATTAATAAGAATCAATTAAAAAGATTAAAAATAAAAAATAAAACATAGACTATTTAAATCAAGACACATCACATTTATATAAATTTAATATGTCACGCCAAAATTTAAGTTTTGTAAAATAAACTTTAATTAAGATCAATTAATATTCTCCATATCAAATAAAATAGCTATATTAGTTGAATAGGAGCATTTTTAGGAATTATTTATTTTTTGGTAAAGATAGTTTTTTTGGTAAAGGAAATTATTTATTTAGTAAGATGATTTTCAGATTTAAATTTTTTTATCTATTTTAATTTATCTTTTCATATTTATTTTTAAATTAAGTTTCAATGTTTATTAAAAAATAAGTTTAGATATATTTTTTACCCTTTTAATATTTTTATTTTAGTCCTTGAAATATTTTTTAAATGGTCCTTATAATTTTTTTTACTTTAGTATCTATATTATTTTATTTATTTTGAGTTAATTACTTTGAAAAAAGTTTGTAAAGACTAAAAATAAATTTTTCACATATTATACAAAAAAAATGAAGTAAAGAGTATACTACAAAAAACTAAAAATAAAATAACAAGGACTAATATAAAAAAGAAATATATTACAAAGACTATTTTAAAAATAATTTTATAAAAAAAAAAACATATTGAACAAACAATTTTTTTTTATCTCCATATAACAATAAGATAATATTTACATGCACAATTCATTCCAAATAAATGTCATATATTAAATAATACTCCATGTTATTAGTGTTTACATAACATATAAAGACAATATTTAAACACGCAAGAATACTTGTGTTTTCAAAATTTTTTAAAAAATAGTCCAACATTGCTAATCTTATAGTCTTTCTGACGAATAAAATAAAATAAAATAAAAATAAACTCATGCATCTAAATAACTCGGACTAAACACTTCCAAGAGTTTTAGACAAGTATTTTATATATACACTCTTAAAAGTAAATAAAATCATGCAAAGTGGGACTAGTCTACAACATTTTAAATTCTCTAAAACCCAACTGATGTGAAGTATCTACTGGTGGAATCGTGATTTGCAGCCATGTTTTCCCTGGGTTAGAAATAACACTGTGAGGGTTAGAAATAACACTGTGAGGAGGGATATTCTGGTTTTGTTACGAAGCTGCTCTCATAGTCTGGTCCAATTTTGGTTTTGTCTTTGAATGGTTAAAAAACAATAGGCAATGAAAAAATTATTACATCCATGATGTTGTTCATGAAATTAAAATAGATATAAAACAGGATCAAGAGGGTGCTGACAAGGAAAAAGTTAAAAAAGACAAGGAAGGGATCATCATTAAGAAATATGGAATGGGAATCACTATCTTTGTTTTTGTTTAAGCCCTTTAATAGGTTGAAGTTTTAACTGTTCTCTTCTTCCTGAACATAGGCCAAAATGAGGTAAAAACTCAGAAAAGGGGAAAGGGCAGACAATTTAGTTCTTAGGTTCCTGCTCTAATTCAACTGAATTTAACATGCTATTGTTGAAGCATTGGAAGTAATAAATATTTAATTAAACACAAAAAAGAGCATATATAATATAAAGTTTGATATGAACGAGAAATCAATACACAATACTAGGTCCAAAAAATGAATAGAAGCAAAACTCAATACAAAGATTTGGCCTAGCAGTCCAAAAGCATACAAAATGAAAATAGTTGGCTACTGATGTGCAGCTTCCTCAACCAGTTTCTTGCTCAAAATCTTCACCTTCAGATTCCTCTGCATTGTCAACATCATCGTCATCTGCCCCATTGTCAAAGTCTTCCTTATCATTTTCATTAGTGGTTTTCCCTATCACAACAAGGTTGCTGTTCATCTTCCTGATTTCATTGAACTGCAACAATTTGTGCCAACAATGACAGGGATGAGTACCAGGGAAGGAACAACAAAAAAAAGAGATTCAAAGAGCACTAACTTGCACCTTGAAGCCTATTATCCTCTGCACTAAACACTACCTTCATAGATTCAAAGTGAAATATTTAACCATAAGAAGTACCATATCCTACAATCGAAATTCCCAACCATCTGATACACTAGAAACCTAGACAAATAAGTGTGTGCAAAAATGGGTATAAAATGAACAAGATTTTAATTTAATTAGCGAAATGAGCCAGAAGGTAAAAGATAGCGTTTTGAATGAATAATTTAACGGAAAGAGAAGATGAAAGGACCTTTTCTTTGAAATCAGACTCCTCCACGGTGAGAAGGAGTTCTTCGTTCTGGGGCTGAGGCCACTGAGAGGGTAGCAAACGAGGTCGGAATGGTACTCGTCGACAATGGGTACTGTGTCATATATGCCGGAAACTGTAACATCTTCTCTCTTCTCTTTTCTCCTTTTCCTTTCTCTGTCTCACTAGTTTTAACAATTTTCCTCTTACTCCCACTCAATTTCCTTCCTCATTTTATACTTTTAATTTTAAAATATTAATAACTTTTAATTAAATATAAATTTTGCTAATCCTTAATTATAATTTCATATATATTAAATAATAATTTAAATATAATTAAAATATTTATATTTTAATATATTTTAAAAATATATATTATATTAATTTATTTTATAAGAATGATAAATTTAAAAGTTAGTTTGTAAAATAAAATATATAATTTTAATCCTGATTCATCAATTTTTAATTAAGAAAATTTTAGTTCATCAAACACTTTTTCTATGCTATTTAATTTTATCTCTTTTATTAAAAATATGATAATTTTTGTTGATACAACATTAATAAAAGGCTTAAATATATTTTTAATCCCTCAAATTTAGGATAAATCTATTTTTGGTCCTTCAAATTTAAAATTGTTATTTTTAGTCTATGTAATTTCAAAAAATCTTATTTTAGTCCTTATATTCAAATTTTATTAAAAAATTTATCAAATATTATTGCATAAAATCTACCTATTAGTATTTTTATTAGTGAAAATATCACATTAAATCCGATTGATATAACATAATTGTCTTAATTAGCCACTTTTAAATATGTTATTGGTAATTTAAGGGACTAAAACAAGATTTTTGAAAATTACAGGGACTAAAAATAACAATTTTAAATTTGAGGGACCAAAAATAAAATGTCTTAAATTTAAGGGACTAAAAACATGTTTAAGCCTTAATAAGATGATATGAAAGTCACCGATCATATCCTTTTCTTGAGTATGGGCTAGAAGCAAACATGGCTAAAACTTTGAGGGTAGTTGGTGTATGAGTAAGGTGCTAGATTGGGAGGAGGAGAAGGTGATGACGATGGAGCTCAAGAAAGACTCGGTGAAGCAAGGAAAAGCTAGAGGATGCGAATGTAACATCTTTACAATTTTTAAGAGGTTTCACCAAAGGAAGGAGAACTCGAGAGTGTGAGTGTAACATTTTTCAACTTTTAAGGGATCTTATTGTAAGTCCTAATAACATAAGGGTATTGAGTACAATCTCAAAAAAAATAAAAGAGATGTGAGTGTACGAGTTGTACATATAATATGTCCCACAAACTTTTACACAAATTTATTTTATAAAAAGGTATATATAATATAATGAAGTTGTTATACTCATAAGGGTTTCTTATTCATAATTATTTGTCTAATAATTTTCTTTGTATTTAATCCTTAGAGTTCCTCTAAAATTGTCAAAGTAGATTTCAACTGGTGATCCAACCTGATCCACATTAAAAACAAGTTGGCCTATGCAAAAAAATAAAAACAAAAAAATGTATAATTGGTCATAAAACTCAACCCAAGTTTCTTTTGACCCATTTGGGTTCAACCTATAATGGATCGAGTTGCCTACTTGGCTACCTACACCTTTCATCAATCAAACTAGCAATGGTCCACTTAAATGTTTGTTGTCATGTATATATTATTTTAATAATATAATTTTAATTCTCTCAATAATTTGATATTTGTTGATTGTTAAATTTTGACGTTATTTGATAATCTATTACCAGTTAAGTAATGTGATATTTAATTATGTGACATATAAAGATAAAAATAAAAAATAACATAAAAAATCTTTATTTGTATCTATTTATACAACAATTGATATTTATTTTATTAATAAAAAATTTATTTTTATATCTTTTTTTTTATTTATAAAATTTCATGTTACAAAATGTCATATCACTTAAGTATAAACAAATGTTAAAATTTAATAATTAGTAAATGTAAATTTAATTGGAGGATTAAAATTTTATATTTTTAAAATTAAAAAAAATTAAATATTTTTATTTTAAAATAGAGAGATGATGATAACAGAAGGACCATGTAGTTAATTAGTATCTAATCTATTTATGATTTTATTTATTTATTTTTTTTTTAAAAATTAAACAAAACTGAATTACATTATTATAAAATTTCCAAATAATAAAAAAAGAATCAGTTACTGATCCATTTAGATTTAGGTAAAGTTGTACTGCAGTGTATAGAGAAGATTGAGTAAGAGGCCCGGGCCTGGCCCATTTACACCTTTTATAATGTATGACTCAAACCTTTAAAAACCGAAGTTAGGGTTTTGGGAGCTGCATTGTGGTGGTAGAGTCGCAGAGGCTTTAGGGTTGTAAGGTAGAGTCGCAACAATGAAGAACATTCTCTCCTCTGAAACCATGAACATCCCCGACGGCGTGAGCATCAAGGTTCACGCCAAGGTCATCGAGGTCGAGGGTCCCCGCGGAAGTCTCGTTCGAGACTTCAAGCATTTGAACCTCGATTTCGATCTCATCACCGACGACAACGGAAAGAGGAAGCTCAAGATCGACGCCTGGTTCGGCTCCCGGAAAACTTCCGCTGCCATCCGCACCGCCCTTAGCCACGTCGAGAATCTCATCACTGGCGTCACCAAGGGCTACCGCTACAAGATGAGGTTCGTCTACGCTCACTTTCCCATCAACGCTAGCATCACCAACAACAACAAGTCCATCGAGATCCGAAACTTCCTCGGCGAGAAAAAGGTTTTTTTTTTAATCTCATTTAAATTAATTGTAAGAAAATGTTTTGCATATTTTGTTTAGTGTTTTATTTTGTTGTTTGAATTATTAGGTTAGAAAAGTGGACATGCTTGAGGGTGTGTCCGTCCTTCGATCTGAGAAGGTGAAGGATGAAGTCGTTTTGGATGGAAACGACATTGAACTTGTTTCAAGATCTTGTGCTCTTATTAACCAGGTACCAAAGTTTTTTTTTTTTTTTTTTCTCTGCTCGTACCCTCACTCATTCTTTTCCGAATTTTTTTCTGCTTAGTGTTTAATTGATTATTTATTTGGTGCAGAAATGTCATGTGAAAAATAAGGATATTAGGAAATTCTTGGATGGAATTTATGTGAGCGAAAAGGGCACCATTTTGGTGGATGAGTAGATGGTGGGCACCATTTTGGTGGATGAGTAGATGGTGAAGAGCTGGGCACTTTTTGTGCTGTCAAACTTTTCTATTTTGGAATATTTTATTTGGAATTTTTAGTTTTTTATATTTGGAATTTTTGGAATATTTTATTTGGAATTTTTAGTTTTTTATATTTGGAATTTATGAAAATGTAATGCAGAGAATACCAATCATTCAAATGCACTTACTCATTCTAGTCTCTTTTATATGAATAGGATGAATTTAAAAGTTAGTTTGTAATGCAAAAGTATATTGATATTTTATTAGTTATTTTTTAAAAAATCGATCAGAATTTTATATACATTACATATAAAAAGTAAAATCCATTTAAATTTAATTAAACATTTATATACATTACATATAAAAAGTAAAGCCCATTTAAAATTAATTAAAATTCATGGGAGATTCTTTTTAAAAATTTTAGATCTAATACATTTTTTTTTAATCTTAAGATGTTTTGCTACAAAAGAAAATGAGAGAGAAAAAAGATTGGTCAAATAAGAAAAAAAATTGAAAAATTCAATTCTTTTTCTATTATGTTTTATTATTTTGTTTGTTTGGGAGAAAATTTAATTAAAAATAATAATTACAATATTGTGCACTAATTATTTATAATTATAGTAATTATGATAATTTTTATTTATGAAACTTCACAATTTTCTAAAAAAATGAAATATTTATAATTATAATAATTATCATACTAGTTTTATAAATAAACTAACGTAATTAAGGTAATAGAAAATTTTAATCAACTTTAAATCTCTTTATAATTAAATTCAAATTAACTTAAAGTCAGCCGATACATTTCAGCTTAAAATTATTTATAAAAATTTATATTAATTCTATATATGATCAAAATTAATATAATTTTGAAAAATAAATATTATAATTAACAATTAATATTGTAAATTCATTAAGAATATGGTACATGCAATTAAAGCATCTAAGTATTCTCCGCCTCTTAAGTAGATGGAGAGGATTTGGGGAATGCCTATGGGGAGCCAACCACCATCGGAGCCGCCGAATGGGGGCGTTGGGGGCCTCAAGATGAGCTAGACAATGACCTTCAAGGAGAAGGTACTGGGTGCCCCGGCTAAGTGGCCGGCTGTTCGAGATCTTATTAAGGAGGGGGCTATGACGTTGGAATTTGAGGGTGGAGATCGGTTGCTACCCAAGTTCAGCATCACGACACCTACTCTTAAGCATTTGTGTGAACCATGGGAATAGTGTCTAGTGATCAAGTTGCTAGGAAGAGATGTGGGGTTCTTAACCTTGCGGGACAGGCTGCCTGCCTTGTGGAAGGTTCAAGGAGGTCTCGAGTTGCTGGACGTGTCAAATGGTTACTTCATGGTGAAGTTTGATTTGGAGGCGGATAGAGAACAGGTCATGCACGGGGGCCCTTGGATGCTCTTTGATCACTACCTGATTGTTAAGCCATGGTCCCCGGAGTTCGTAGCTTCAGCAACGAAGGTTGACAGTACTCTCGTCTGGATCAGGTTTCCAGGTCTTGGAGTTATGTTCTATGATGAGAGTGTTCTCCTAACAATTGCATCAGCCATAGGGAAACCGGTCAAGGTGGACCTTAATACTCTGAACATGACACGGGGCAGGTTTGCACGGGTCTGTGTAGAGATAAATCTAAATGAACCAGTCGTAGGAAGATTTTTCCTCAATGGTGTTTGGTATAACGTGAAGTATGAGGGTTTACATTTGTTGTGCTCTTCGTGCTGCTGTTATGGGCATGTTCTGCGGAACTGTCCACATGCAGCTAGGCCTGAGTCAACGGCAAACGGCGTGGGTGAGAAGGAGGCTGTGGAGCAGCCGTCAGGGGACCTACCGCATAGTGCAGATTCTGTTGCTCAAACAGGAGAGCAATCAACTCCGCATATTAGGGGGGAAATCACGCCAGATCCGCATAGGGAATGGTTGATCGTGAAACGAAGAAATCGGAAACAAAATCTCGGGAAACCGTTGAGCAAGGGTCGATCTTCCTCTCATAATGGGACTGCGGAAATTAAGGAGAAGAATCATGCCATTTCGAGTTACCCTACGAGGGGAATACACCTTGAGGCTGAATCACGTGAGGTTTTTAAAAATCCACGTGCGGTGATAGTGAATCCACGTGAACAGGACCATGCAATAGGAGCAAGCCGTATTGATGTGGGCCACGTGACGAATATGAATCAAAATATAATGGGACCCACTAAGGATAATAAGAAACGTAGCACAGTGGAGGATCTTGGTGCCCACCCACAGTCCATTCTAGCTGGCGGTAATATTTTATCAGATGTGATTTCTCATAAGGCCCGTAGTTCGCAAGTCAGTCCTCCTCTCAAAGACCCACGAGATATGCACGAGGGAATGACGGGGGACTTGAATAGGAGTTTGGCCTCCAGTGTGCTCCAAACAGGTTGCAAGACCAACGTACTTCATGAGTCAGAGGACAGTGGATAAGAGATACCGAGGACGGAGGATATTATGCAGTATGACCAGCCATTGGAAGAGGAGGCCATGTTGGCGTGAGTATCTGTCGTGTCTTGCCTTATTTAATGATTACAAATTTTAATATCTTGAGTTGGAACATTAGAGGGGCTGTTAATGCCAAAGGTAAAAGGAGGGTTTCGGAGTTAGTAAGGCTCCACCACCCGTCTATTTTTATTATTTTGGAAACCCATTGCCAATTTTCTTCGGTGGAATCCTTTTGGAAAAAGATGGACTATAAGTTGTGTTATAGCATTGAGGCTACGGGGCATTTCAGGGGTATTTGGGTTTTGATGGCGATGTCTTGCTCTGCTACTACCTCTGACTTTGCCTCTCACCCTCAGGCCATCTCGTTTACGGTTGTTGAAGGAAGTAAGAGTTGGGTTTGTACTGCCGTTTATGTTAATCCTCGGGTGGAACTCAGACAGCAGGTTTGGGCTCATCTTCAGGAGTTGGGGGGACGGATTACGCTGCCATGGCTAGTGCTTGGGGACTTCAACGAAATTATGTTGTCAACGGAGTGTAGGGGTGGTTGCTTCTCGATGGCAAGGGCATCACAGTTTCTAGAGGTTTTGAATGATTGTAATCTTCTCGACATGGGGGCTAAGGGCCTTCGCTTTACATGGTATCGAAATCAACGTGGGGTTGTGCTGGCAAAGCGTTTAGACCGTGCGGTGTGCAACGTCGCGTGGCAAGCAATGTTTCCGGAAGCATATGTTGAGAATCTGTGCAGGGTCTATTCTGATCATTGCCCTCTTTTACTGCGGCGTGACGGCTCAAGGGACAAGTCTCAGGATCGACCATTTCGGTTCCAAGCTGCATGGGCCACCCATAAAGATTTTGAGCGAATTGTTAGGGAGGCGTGGTGTCGTAGCACGCCGACCCTTGCTAATGGGTTACAAGCTGTTCGAGTAGATGCCATCAAGTTTAACAAATAAGTGCTTGGGAATATCATTACTAGAAAGAAGGCTCTCCAACGTCGCCTCAAAGGGGTACAACTACAACTCGAGATAGGGGAATCAGAGAGCCTGTCGCGCTTAGAGAAGGCTATACAAGTGGAGTTGGACGAAACTTGTCTTCAAGAGGAGTATTTATGGTTTCAGAAATCTAGAGAGAAGTGGGTGAGGTTTGGGTACCGTAACACGTCCTTCTTCCATGCTCAAACACTCGCGAGAAGACGGAGGAACAAAATACAGGGGTTGTTTTTACCAGATGAATACATCATTGGTGACCCAAGGTACACTTGGAATAGCTTAATACATGGCATGCGGCCTAAGCGGCACACCTGAAGTCATATATGCACATGATGCATGTCACACATTCACTATTTCATTGACTCAACATTATCTCATATGATCATATCATAGATCACATGTTCAATTTTCACATTTTCACGTCATATTCACATAGTCTCATACAATGAACTTCTTATAGTCATATACATCAAAATATACATAAACCATACCAAGAAATTATCCAACATCATACGCATTCAATTCGCAATTCATAACATACAAAGCATAAAAGTCATAGACTCAACTTCATGATTTTATGCATTTTCTACAACTAACTATTTAATATAATATTTCAATTGATCAAAACATTTCAAATATTACCCAAAAAGATCACCTAATTTCCCGATCCCAATAAAAACTGTATTGACACCGGCTAGCATAACACTCAAACAAATACCTACAAAATCAAAATTTAAGGAAACTTTGATCTCAAAATAACAACAACAAAAGTTGACAAGTGAACGACCTGAATGACTAATAACTAACGAGTTTTCATTCATAAACAAACCGAACATTTTATTCACACGTGCCATTTCCCTTCACTCTCCATGTTCTAGCACGTGACAATTTGTTTTTGTTTAATTCAAAATCAGTAGATGTTTTTGTTGACAATTTGTTGCTGTTTGTGCTGGAGTACAAGACATTTAGAGGAATAAGATAAAAACTATGTGGTTAGAAACTATTAGGTTCACAAGTAAAAAATAATAGTATTAAAATTTAAAATAAAATTATTTTAATACATTACAAATTTAAATTGAAATAGAAAACAAACATAACATATATGTAGTAAAGAGCAATATTGTTTCTTACATGGAAGCTTATGTATCTTAGTAATTGTCAAACCTGTTAGCATTTTTTTTTATAATTTAAATGATATGTTAAAAGATAAATTAACATTACTTAATTTTAAAAAATTAAGGAATAAAATTTACAATAAAAAAGCTTTAGAAACTAGAATTGTATATTTATAAAATAATAGAGAAAAAAATATAGATTGAAGCTCTTTTTTTTTCCATAAATTAGGGGAACTACATTTTTCAGCCCAAATATCAAAAGTGGGCTAACCTGTCTGGCCCTGTTTGGCAGATGAGGGAAGCAGAAAGAAGCTCAATTTGTGTGTTCAATAAATAAAGTATACGCGTGTTTCTAATGTTGTACACTATAACTATAACCATTAAGATATTAATAGTTGTCAAAACTCTAAATTTTAAAATTTAAATTTTAAATTTTAAACTTTAAACTTAGTGCTTAAGAATGAGATTAGCAAAATCTTTGTTTTATATATCATTCAAAATATATTTCATATTAATATTTATATACTTTTTATAAAAAAAAAAATAATTTAAAAGTTACTTTTTTTCATTTTTTAAAATTGTTTTTAAAAGATTTATCTATGAAAGATATATAAATATAAATATTTTTTCAAGTCA